TACACTAAGAATCCATGCTATGGGAAAGTAAAAATTTCATTTGGTTTGTCTGAAACTGATGTGACAGTTTTTGTATATTGAATAGCACTGTAGTACTTGATCACAAAGACTTGGAAGGAGAGTTTCGATCAAGTTACCACATGCATTTAGTTTATTTCGCTGTTACTTAGCCATGCCAGATATACATTATAATAACAATCTCTTGTCTAGGAGAGACGTGGGAATGAGATTGTCTTGAAAGCAATGGGTCAGGCGATAAGCAAGACAGTAGCTATTGCAGAGATTATAAAGGTGGTGTTGTGAATTGATTTCTTTCTTTTTCCTTTCTGATTTTGTTGAAACTACCACATGAAGACCTCATTCTCTTATTTTTGCAACAGAGAAGAATTCCTCGACTGCATCAAGACACTGCCATCAGTTCAGTAAGAATAACTGATACATTTGAACCCATCGAAGAGGGCCTTCAGACGTAAGTTTCAATCTTCTGTTCCTTGTATGCTTACGATTATGCACGCATGCTCATAAATTCCCTGGTCTCCCATCTGATCTGCAATTAAATGAATCATGCCCGTATCATCTGATATTGATTTTAATGTCTACTGCAGTGTCGAGCAGACTCGCCATGTTTCCATGATTTCAATCACCTTGTCAACTAAGGAGCTAAACAAGAATTCTCCAGGGTAGTTTTCATTTATATGTTATTTGTTTCTTTATGAAGGACAAAGCCAAAAGTGGGAGAGATAGGGAGTCAGGAAGGTTGATGTTATAATTCCACAACATTTCTATCTGATGCAAAATGCCTACCCAGAAGACAAGTTTGAATATATTCCTGTTTGAACTGTATTTCTGATGTTTAGCAACTTCTGTTGTAGTAGCTCTTTCAACATACATTGCCTTGTGCATTTTAACTTTTGAAAGATTTCTTTTTAATATATATATTCGAACTTAAATATCTTACTGCAGATGTTTGTTCTTTGTGCTTCTGTAGGTACCAAGCTCCAGCTCGTATGGGGCAAACTAAACAACAATATAATTATCAGCCACAGCCACAGCAACAGCAACAGCAACAGCAACAGCCACAGCCACAGCCACAGCCACAGCCACAGCCACAGCAACAGCAACAACAGCAAAAGCAAAGGCAACCTCTTCCTAGACAAGCACGTGCGCCGTACAACAGTGGTAATGGAGGTAATGCCAAGAAATCCACCTGAATTGATCATTATTATTGAACTGCCATCCTTGGTAATTTATTCACTGTTAATTTGATCTGTAGATGCATATGGACGTGGAAGAGGACGTGGCAGAGGGAGGGGACGAGGTTGGAACAGAGGTGGATATGCAAACTATCAAGGTATTTCATTCCAGTTATATAGTCATGTGATCCAAGCAACCTAGTAATTGCATCTAGTACTTGTCTAATTTTTTGTCTCATGCTTCTTTGTGGCAGAAAATGACGGATATGCAAACTATCAAGGTATTTTCATTCTAACTGTAAAGTCACGTGATCCAAGTGACCAAGTAATTATGTATGTATTGCGTTTAATACTTGTCTAATTGACTGACTCATGTTTCTTTGTGCAGGAAATGGTGGATATGCAAATTATAAAGGTATCATTCCATAATATGATCCTAGCAACCAATAAATATGTATTTAGGTCCTGTTGGGTAGTGATTTTGAGAATTGATTTTTTGACCGTTAGGAAAAAAGTGGGGCTACCTGTGAGGGAAGAAGTCAAAAATTACGGCTGAAATAGTAAAATAACGTTCAAAAAATTAATTTTTTGGAGTGAAAAATCACTCCCAAACATCGCCTTATTATTGCATCCAATTCTTGTTTAAATTTTTGTCTCATATTTCTTGTGGCAGGAAATGGTGGATATGCAAATTATAA